CCCAAAGGCGCATATCGATGTATATAAGACATATCTCGATCCGTTTTTGTGTATATCGGAATGTATACAGAGGGTATACAACCTATCTTGACCCCTGCGACCTGCATTTCTTTTTTTTGGACCTGTACATCGCTATTTCTGCCATGTATATCAGTGTATACGGCTGTATACAGCCCGATTTTAGCTTTACAGAATCTGTAAATTGAATTTCCAGCCCCTATGCTGCATGCGACCTGTTCGTCGGCTATTTTTGACTCGATAGAAAATATAGAATTGGACCTATAAGGCCCAATCCACGAAATGCAAGGTGAGGGAGCCTCCAAAGACTCGGTAGTGGGCATGATTCATATACACACAAGATAATTATATTAGCCAATAAAATAAGACAAGGAATCAAAAAAAAAAAAATGACACAAACAATTAAATCACGTTGGCAAACTTACTGGACTTATACAGAAAGAAGAAACATAACAAATTTTACACTATCACAAACTTGGAGTAAAGCAAGAATAAATAAAACATCTCTGCAAATGACCTTTGCTTTCAACAAATTAAGGAAAAAACGTAACTTAATGTGTTCCACTAAAAAAAATATTGAGCTAATCAAATTATTAAGCATACAAAGGAACTTGAAACTCAAATGCTATCTACTAATGTGAAAAGAAAAACACTTAAATTTTGGGAATAAACCGGAGGACTCAAGTCTTAATGAACAAGGGAGATTTCGCAAATCATGCAATGAAATATGATTCGGAATAAAATTAATCTTCGTGAAATTAAGCAGATCTAGACAGCAGTAAATAACAGACAGAATGCTCAGGTTTTCAACTACGGCTACATACAAACTAAGGAGGAGAACAAATGAGATGAGGAGGATGAGGCGTGGTTTATTTTTTTCATTATGATTATTTTTTTTTGACAGCATGTTCTAGCGGTTAATGGACGGACTTCTCAATTTTATTTTAGTTTAAGAAGAGAACAAACTAAAGCAAACCTACTACTCAAACATGACACCCATTTTTCAAGTGAACTCGAAATTGTTAGCACCAAGAAACGACATGTTATAAAAATCTAATAACGACTTAAGAAAGAAACTGAATCTTGCCTTTTGACTTAATGATCAAGAAGATGCATTAACTACATCCCTAATCACTTAATTCATTGGGCAACCTCACAATGCAGGAAACAGAGATGTTGGCTCACATAGAAATGGAATCAAAACAAAGAAAATAGAATCCCAATAATAGACTCCCAAATATGCAAGCAGACGAGAACTCTTTTTTTAAAATTCGTCGGAAATCATCAGTCAAGATTTAACTCAAATCACTTAACAGAAAGACACAAGGCGTTGAGCAGGGATTTGTACATATACAGAAGCAAGGTTTTGAACCCATTGCGGAAAAAAAAAAAGATAAAAAAACAAAGTATAGTTTGAAGGGTATGTGAAACTAAATTGATATTCGAGTAAGACAATCCGAGCAGACTACTGCGAACTCTTTGAAATTTACGATTCTACAACTTATGCGGTCGAAATCAAACAGTCAACACATTGAGAGACAAATGACGATGAGCAGGAATAGATGTTACCTTTTAGAGTGCAGCCGAACTGGAGACGGTGACAAGCAGGGTGACTTCACCGCTAAGCAATTCCGAGCGCGAACAGTGGTTAAGAAGGTAGGAATATCGAATCCAAACACTCAAAGCAAATATCTCCTCTCCTTTCCTTGAGTAGTTAGTAGGTATTCTCGCTATTTCCGCTTAAGCTATTCTATGTATATTTAACTCTAAAATTTCAAAACCAAAGTTCCCCCCTTTACAAATGAATAATCCAATAATATATAGAAGAAGCTAGGGTTCGGAATAAATGGGAAAAAGGACGAAAATCCCGATGAGAATCGGCTCCATTTCAAAAATTTGAATTCAAAAATCTTTCACCAATTCGGCTAAACACTTTTTCCTACAAAAATTGCCCCATTCCGGAAGAGGAAAGGGGTAGGACGCGTGCTCTGCCTTGCTGTTGCGTGTGTCGACGCGTCTGGGCTGCTGTTGTACGTTCCTAGTCGTTTTCTGCGTGTTGAAGGAGAAGAAGACAAAGACGCAGGGGTCTGGGTCGGTTTGGCCTGCTGTACATATGGGTTAATTGGAATTATATTGGAATGGGTTTCTTTAGAATTGAATTTGGGCTGAATTAGGTCACTTTAAATGGCCCAAAATGGTTTTACAAATGAGTCAAGGTAGGGAAGGGGTTAAATTTGCAAATATAAATGGCTAAATGAATTGCAATTATAGCCATAGAATTCACAATATAATCGAATTGAATTTAATTTGCAAATCCGGCTAAAATCTAAAATTAATTAAGGAGCTTCTTAAACTTAATGAAATGAAATAATTAACTTAATCATAAACCGAATGATTTAAAAATATAAACTATTATATAACTAAACTAATTAACCAAATATTTAATTAAAACAAAATCTTTTTGAATAATATATATATATATATATTATTTAAAAGTTCCAAAACGTGACAAAATTACATAAAACTAACTTGAAAATATTTTGAATTTTATAAGGTCAATTATTTCAAATCGTTCGAATATTTAAGAAGCTCGATGATTAATTTATATTGTGGAGGTCCGAAATTGGGTGTCAACAAACATCAATTGAAACTTTCTTTAAATGTATATTTATATGATGACATATTTTAGTGTTTATAGTTGAATCGATTTCCAAAAAAGGTATTTTCAAATAATAGTGAGGTTACGTTGTTAAACATGAAATAAAACTAATACAATTATAGTAATTTTAATATAGCTTACTAAAATATTCAATATACTAAATGAAAATGGTTCAATCAACACTAGTACGTTTTTTTACATGTTTCCCAATTGACCTCTAAAATATTAAATTTCAAGAGTCTGTTTGGATTGATTTAAATGTTGATCAAACCTACTTTTAAGTCATTTTTAGCTTTTGAGAGTGTTTGACAAAGTTAAAAATAACTTAAAATAAGTTTAAAATGATTTAAATTTTTTTAAAGTAGGTACTATTTTTTAACTTAAAAGTTACTTAAGTTTGACTTTTAAAAAACTACTACTTTTTTTTAAGTTAAGCCAAATGGATCTATTAAATTAATATAACTTAATGAGAAAATAAATT